AGCCACAAAACACATGACAAGAAATGCACAAATCTATAATTACAATCTGAGACTACAATATTTCCTACTCGATAATTGATAGAACATGTTGGCAGAAAATCAGCAAGGATACAATAGACAATAATTAGGTAACCTGAATAATCCTTTATCTGAATAACCCTCTAAAGAAATTGAAACTGTAGCTTAAAAATGTTCCTACAAAGAAAATTCCAAGTCCAGATGGCATCACTGAAGAATTCTACCAAATATTTAAGGAAGAAAGAATACCAATTCTACACAAAATCTTCCAAAATATTGAGGAGGAAAGAATGCTTTCCTACTTATTCTATGAGGCCAGAATTTCTTGATTCCAAACCTAGGCAAATATATTAATAGAAAAGAAAAGTATAAATCAATATCCATCATAAATATACATGCAAAAATTCTAAACAAGATTTTAACAAGTTAAATACAGCAATACATTAAAACAATAATAAATCATGACTGAATGGAATTTATTTCGGGAAGGCAGGCTGGCTTAATACTTGAAAATGAATCAAAAAAAATCACCGTATTAACAGCTAAAAAAGAAAAAACATACAATTACTTTAATAGATGCAGAATGTTGAAAACTTTTGCCCTATGATCAGGAACAAGACAGAGATTTCCACTTCCCCCAATTGTATTCAACATTGTAATGGAAGTTCTAGGTAGTGTAGTCAGGGAACAAAAATAAGTAAAATACATGCAGGTTAGGAATAAAGTAAAATAGTCTATTCACAAATAACACAATTGTTTACATAGAAAACATGATACAATCTAATTAAAACAATAAAAAGCTACCGAAACCAACAAGAGAGTTTAGCCAAGTTGCAGGATACAAGCTCATTATAAAGAATAAGTTGTGTTTCTGTCTACTAGCAACAAACAATAAAATGGAAATAAAAACAACACCATTTACAATATCATAAAACATGAAAAACATAAAGGATAAACCTGACAAAAATGAAAAATCTGTACATTGAAAACTACAAAATATTTCTGAGAGAAACTAAGAACTGCATAATTGAAAGACACACAAAAAGAAAAAAAAAGACCTACATAAATGAAGAGATATATCTTGTTCATGGGTCTGAAGACTCAATATTAAGATGTCAATTCTCCCGAAATTGATCTATAAATTTGGTGCATTCTCAATCAAAACTACTGAATTTTTTTGGGAGGTGGGGGTAGGAACTGACAAGCTGATTCTATAATTCATATGGAAATGCAAAGGACCAAGATTAGCCAAAATAGGATTTCAGGAGTTACTACAAAACTATATGACAGTAGTGTGACATTGGCATAAAGATAAACAAATAGATTAGCACAGCACAGAGAGTCCAGAAGTAAAATCACACATATACAAACAACTGATTTTTGGCAAAGGTATGCAGATAGAGACATGGGAACAAGCAAAGGCCAGCATAACCAATGTACCCTCACTAATTAATTATGAGGGGATACATGCCTAAGAGGAGGCTTGCCCAAGAGAAAGAAGCCCAAAGCTAGATGAGCTTTCTAGCACCAATGAGAAGCCTGCACACCATCAGTGAAGACTGAAGTGACAAGCTCAACTATAAAATGGGGCTCAGTTGGCACAAAAAGGTGAACCTGGTGGCTTTTGTATAAGGAGAATGGGAAACTAGGGCTTCTCCTTCTGGTGGTGGAGCTGTGAAGGACAGAATCTTCCTTCCTCTCCACTTGCTTCAGGTGAACTACTTGGAGATACTGACGCTAAGTAATAGCTATCGGAATAGATGTGAGCATGTGTGCAGCAACTGAATGGGCATGAGTAATATTTGAAGGAGTTCACAGATCATTGGAGTAACAATTTAAAATAACATACTTTGTCAATCCATTATCAAGATTTCCAGAAACTCTCCTTTGCAATCATGAAAATTTCCTTCATGTTTACCAGTCAGTTTAGAAAAATCATCTCACAAAATGTTTATATTCATAATACTTATTCATGCACTTATTGTGGCCTACTGTGGGACAAAGGACACCAGAAAAAAGATCGTCCTCTGACTCACAGCCTCAGCCTCCAGCTCCAGTGGCCTTTGCAGTTTTGCAAGCATGCTTCCAAGACTTAGCACACGATGTTTCTTCTTCCAGTTCTGCATTCTGCACATGTGGGCACCTACACCACATCACCTCTTGTGGATGGTGCTCATAAGGTTGCTAAGCTTCTCCTTGAGCTGAGGGATTCAAAGGAACTACTGGATCCATGGGTAGCACAAGGTGAAGAAGCAAACATGTTTATGTTTATGATTCAGGCTTAAACCAGAATCGGAAAGATACAGATTTAATTCCAGGCATACTTTGCCAGAGGGTGTGACATTAGGTAAGTTGTGCATACTCTCAAACCCCTATTTCTTCATATAGGAATTCTTTCTCATGATGAATTGTTTAAGGAAGTGGACAGAAGATGATCCATGAGGATGTTTGCTGCAGCATAAATGATCATCTAAAATGATAAATATATGGAAACACATGCACTAAAACGACAAATAGAAGAGAGGTTTTTAATGAATGCTGGAATTCCAGAGTTGTTTCTTAATTCTCCTCTTTCTAATTTGGTGGATTTTTTATGAGCATGAATTATTTGAATAGCAATGTTCAAACTTATTTTTTATCAAAAGTGTAAATTCAAATACTAGTGTGGTGTTTTCTCCCATCAAATAGCAGAAGAAAGTAGGACCAGTCAATTCTTAGTGACTGGATTATTTGTAAGGAGCAGATATAACCTGTGACATAAAATGAATACAATGAAAATGACATCTAAAATCATCACAATGATACAAACAGGGGCTTGGGAGCACCTACATAACCTTGATCAGAGTGTTTGCTTTGCACTAATGTTGCCTGAGGGTGAGGTTCTCTGGGAAGGCTCACAGTGCTGGGCAAATTGGGATTTCTTTTTCAGTTCAAATCTAAGCCCTCACACAAAAAGGACCTTACCTGTCCTCTCAATCCTTCACAGCATCCTAGAGAAACTTGATCCCATGCAGAGAACACAGCAGCTGCCAACTGACAGGCGCATAAGTCAAGGAGGCAGCAGGCTGCAGATAGCCTTTCTAAGTGATAACAGGGAACACCTAAGAGCTTTACCTGAGAAACAGGAAACTGAGACTAGAGCCCACAGTTTATGCTGATTGCATAGTGTGAGATCTCAGTCTCTCAATAAATCTTTATTTAATCCACATAAAGATCCGAGTAGTAGGAGTAGCTCCTGTTTAGATACAAAAAGTGGTTATCCCTGATTTGTGAGATCAAGGAAGAATTATATATTCTTCACACTTGGCTCTGTATTGACTCTACATCTTATCTGTAGGAGAGAGGGAAAGGAGAGGGAGATCTGGCAATTCTACTTCTGCCATGGGGGATCTTTCTAACTCTCAAAGAATGTGCGCTTCTTTAAGGGTAACCTGCAGTCTGAGAACAGTCCAGGTCCAGGCATGCAAGGACACAAAGGATATTTTTCCCCCAGGGGTTTAGCAGGGGCGGGAGTGGGTGGACAAGGATGTGCAGGGCAAGCTCCTTTCTGTCCTGCAGGCACCCATATAACTTTGTTTGCCCAAAGCAGTAACAGTGGGCTTCTGTCGCCCCAGCCCCACCCCCCACACCTTCTCTGACAACAAAGGATCAGACTGCCTAGGTGATGGTAAAGCTTTGACATGCACCAAGTGCAGAAGATCTATGATCCCTAGCACTGCATTTTATCTGCTGAGTTCCCCTTAGAGAGAACCATACGTCTTTGGAGCCCCAGAACATGCTGGTTGCACAAGAACTAAGCACACTACTGTCTGAGAGGAGGCTGGTGGTGTGGTAGCGCTAGTGAACCTCTCTTTTCTTTTGAGATTATGTTGTACATACACAGTGCTACATAACTGACTCAAAGGGGGTCAGGGGGGTTCTGGCTAAACCCACCTAGCAGGATTCTTGCTGAAGACAGGCCAAGGGTAATCAGACATCAACTAGGGGATGGTGGAAGATGAGGAGCCCCATCAGATAGCAAGGATGATCAGATATTGAGGATGAAGGGTTCATGCCACATTGACGTAGCAGCGCTCTTTGCTAAAACTGGGTTTTACAAGGAAGTGCACAGATGGGCCTAGGAGAAGTTTCAGAAGCCTGACTTAAAAGTCTGGCCAAGCAAAGACTATTTGTCAACATTTCAAGACAGTTTCCTTAACATTAAAGTCCTAGAAGTAGAAATGCTGGGTCACAGGATTTTTTATTTTTTGAGACAGGGTCTTGCTCTGTCGCCCAGACTGGAGTGCTGTGGTGTGATCTTGGCTAACTGTAACCTCAGCCTCCCGGGCTCAAGCTATTCTCCCACCTCAGCCTCCTACGTAGCTGGGACTACAGATGTGCACCACCACACCTGGCTAATTTTTAAATTTTTTGTAGAGACAGGGTCTTGCCATGTTGCCCAGGATGGTCTCGAACTCCTGGGCTCAAGCCATCCACCCACCTCAGCATCCCAAAGTGCTAGGATTACAGCCGTGAGCTGCTGCACCTGGCCTGGATTTTTGTGCAAATGTTTAGGCTTATTTATGTATGCGGGTTTATCATCCTTCTTCTTTACATTTTTTTCTGGATTCCTATCATGCTTAAAATGGCTTTGCACTCTCTGAGAACCTAAGCTTTCACACATCTTGGGGGAGACTGAATATTCTCTGGAGGGCCACTGAGGCAGCAGCAATGAGAAAAAATTGGAGGGTAAATTTGCAGGTGAAGTACAGAGCTGGGAACATTCCTAGACCGAGAAGGACAGAACGTTTTGCAGGAGGGGCGAGAAGCCAGAGACAAGCCCTTCCCAGCACTGAGCAGGCCCTTCCTCCAGGTGGCACAGAGCCTCTAGGAGGCGGGAGAGGGATGGAAAGACAACCCACGTGGCACACCCCCGAGGTTTGGGATTGGCTGGTGGGGTTGACACTGCTGAGGTTTAAGTAAGGAAGCAGAAGTAGGTAGGTGCTACTTCTCTTCCTTTCTTCATTCTTCCCCAGGCTCTCTGCTGACTCCGGTCAAGTGTAAGTGAGAACAGGTGTGAGTGAATGAGTCGGAGGGCTTCGGGTGGGTCGGGCACCGTAGTCCCTGGCCTCAGAGAAGGAAGGGCCTCGAGGTCTTCATCCTTCTCCTTAGCAGGAGGTGATGCGGCAGGGCCGAGACAGGGGAAGAAGGAGGGCAGTGGAGGGGTGGAGGGTCAGCCAAGGTGGTGCGAGTTTTGGAGGGGGACACTATTTGAGTCCTGGAGGTATATGAAACTGCTCATAGAGGACAGATGCCGGAGTCCTCAGTGGGGACCAGGGAAGGGTGGGACAGCCCGCGTTTGTCAGCGCCCGCCTCAGTGTGCATGTTCACTGGGCATCTTCTCATCAGCGCCTTCGCCCACGAGGTGAACGCCGCAGAGCTGTGAGGGTGATGTTCGCGTTCCAACGGTCGGGACTCCTTCATCCGAGACTGAGAGTCAGTGTGTGGGACCACCAATGGGTCCCCCTGGGAGTTTAAGTGTGAGGAGGAGCTGGTGGGCTTCAGGCGGGTCAGGCAGCACAGTCGGTGGCCTTGGAGGAGGAAGGGCCTCAAGGTCGTAATTCTTTTCCTCACAGGTGGTGGCGCCGCTGTGATCTTGTGATTGTGTAGCAGGGCCTGGGCGAGGGAGGAAGTTGGGCCACGGAAGGGAGAGGGATCAGATGGAGCAAAACTTGTGGGTACTTTCTGAGCTACCTTTGAGTCCCAGAGGCACCTGAAACTGCCGACAGAGGAACAAGTTTCTGAGTTCTCAGTGGGGACCTGGGGAGGAGGGGACCTGGGGTGGCTGTATGTTAAAAAAATCTCTTTATAATGGAATTCAGTTATGAAATTAAGTCGCTTTAGGAAAGACTCAATTTTTTTATCTAGGACTTGAAGATCACTTCTCTGCCAACTTGGCTGTGGAAGAAACAAAGCAGTTTGCAGATAGATTTATTTGATGTGATTGGAAACCAGGCGTAGTTATTATTAACTCAGGACCTGTTATGGAAATCTAGCAAAATTAAAAACAATTACAATCAGCAGATGGCCATGAAAAGAGTCGAGTATAATTACTTCTTTTTATTGCAGTCTTCAGTTCACGATCTTCCAGTTGCAGCGATGAGTGCACGAGTGAGATCAAGATCCAGAGGAAGAGGAGATGGCCAGGAGGCTCCCGATGTGATTGCATTCATGGCTGTGAGTACCTTTCAGTATCTTATTTCTACTGGCAGAAATGTATTTTTCTGAAAGAAAATAAAAACCATTGTTGAGCCAATATAGATCTGTTATATAAAGGGCTTCCCTGCTGGAAATGGTTGCAAACTAAGTCACATGAATGAGACATTGAGAAAGGAGACTTATTTTCTGGTATTGTCTGTATATGTATGTTGTTAAGAGTCTGGAAATAGTCCTTATGACTTTCCTATCAAGCTTATTAATAAATAATACAGCCCAGAAAAGATGAAAATGGGTTCCAGAATTATTGGTCCTTGCAGGTAACTTCTTAAAGTATTTTCTATATAGGAAGAATAATTTTTTTTAAGAGTACTTACAGAAAGGATAGGAAAAACCTCTTCAGATATATTTGTGATCAGCTATCTTCACATAGTATGTATATTTGTGACTTCTATTGGCATGATATTAATAACAATATTCTATTTGCATCTATTCTTCCCCACGTCCCAAAAGCCCCGTGAATCTCAGCAAGAGGAACCACCAAATGAGAATCAGGATATTGAACCTGGACTAGAGAGAGAAGGAACACCTCCTATTGAAGGTGAGAAGGGCATAGAGGAGCATTTTGTATTTCATGTATGATATTATACTAGTAACAGGAATAAATAAACCATCCCCTAAAAATAGGCTGGAAGCCTGTAAGGTAATCCTTGGTAAGAGAACGGTGTAGTTTTCAGCTGCTGTAGTCCTTCTTCTGATAAGTTTTCTCTTCAGCATTTTACTTATCCTGTATCTTAAGAGTTCTTTGGCATACTTGGAAAATACAATCCTTGCCAAGATTCTATATTAGCAAACAAAAGGAAACTACATTAAATTTAGACAAAATTGTCAACTGTTTCATGAGTTAAACTTGTTTTTATTGGAATATTACTTTTCTGGGCACAAGTCATTGCATTAAAAATTTGAGTAAACCTAGATAAATTATTGTTAGCTCTTACAGAGCAATTTTTAGAAAATTTCATAATTCAGAGAAATAAAAATGTAAAATCCTTTTAGTTGCCGTTAAAAGTCTTCAACACTTCTGTCTTTCTGAACCATAATCTATTTATCATAATCATATATTCATTTTAACTCTTTAAAAGGATTTAAAACATAAGGAAAAGTTATCTAAATACAGTGAACTGTATATTCTTCACCTTGATACACTGATTGCTAGCATTTTGCCACTCATCTTTCTCTTTTTGCCATATCAATATATTATTGCTGAACCACTTGAGAGTGTTTCAAATATCACAACTCTTTCCTCCGTAATTCAGTATGTATCGCTTAAAATATGGATAATCTCTTAAAAACTTCAGAACAATTATCAAATTCAGGAAAATTAGCGTTGAGGAAACAGCTAATGTATAGTACATTGCAGTTTTGTCAATTTGTCTACGAATGTCCTTTATAGGGTTTTTTTTCCTGATCCAGGATCTAATGCAAGACCACTCATTGCATTTAGTTGTCATATCTCTCTGTTCTTCTTTAACCTGGAGGTGTTCCTCAGTCTTTCTTTGCCTGTCATGACATTGACAACTAGAATCCAAACCAGTTGTTTTGTAAAATGTTCTTTAATTTTGGTTTGTCTCATGTTAATATTTTTGCAGGCTTTTTTTTCTATTCACTTATTGGGGCTTACTAGGTGCTGGGTAATGTACTTTGTGCTGAGGATATAAATGAAATGATTTCTGTCTTGAGCTCACAATCTAATCAGGGAAATTCATGTAAACAAATAACTGCTCTAATGAGTGATTTACCATAACAGAAGTATATGAAGATTGTGAAAGTGACAACTAAGTTGTCTTAAACAGTTGTAGGAAAAGAAAACTTCATAGTAGAGATATTCTTCCCCATTTTCTAGTAGAAAATTTCAATTGCACTCATGCATCTCATGTATTAGAATACTAGCCCGCAGAGCTTTATTTAATAACACTAATTTATGATTTATGGCTTACTTATATCAATAACTTTTTTATTTGTATAAGAACGTAAAGTGGAAGGTGATTGCCAGGGAATGGATCTGGAAAACGCTGGCAATGAGGATGGAGATGACCCTGGTGTAGAAGAGAAGACTCCACCTAATCTGGAGCATGCTAAGATTCCAGAAGCAGGTAAGTTATTCATTCAGAATGGAAGTCATGGGGTTACTCTTCTTCTATAATATGCTTTAATAACAGATCTCACATACAAAGATTATTTGAAAGGTAGTTCAGATACCAAATATTTGATTCAAAGACTGTCAGGGAAAAAAATGAATTAGGTCAAAGCTATGTTGTTGAATTATAAAATATGAAAGTATTATTACTTTGGAGTAGAAATCTTCCGAAACTCAAAGCAAGTGATCAAATTCTTTAAAAAGTATATACATGACTTAACATACCCCAGGGGCAACTGGGTATCTAAACAACACATAGAGTTCCTTTTTTAAAAAAAATTGAGTAGAATTGTTTATCACAAATAGCTTTTAGGCACTAACAAGTAAGATAGATCTGTATGTTTTGAATTTTCCAAGTTGGTTTGTTGGTTTTTTAAAATTGTGAGCTAGACTGAGAAACAGTAGCATTTTCCATTACATTTTAATGTCATCTATTTGGTAGTGGCTTAAATAAACCAGTATTTTTTTTTTTTACTGGGCATATTTGGTCTCTAACCATGTAATTTTTATTATCTAAACCAGGACACTTTTGAGAGGGAAAGGGAATGCTATGAATACATCAGGTTAACAGGTGCCAATGAGACAAATGGCCACCCTGTTATCAAGAGTCCACATAAAGATTTAACTAGATCAATGAATTATTTTTGCACTTTTGCACAAAGGAGACAAACCAAATGGAATGCCATTCTTTGACCTCTCTTTAGTCAGTTAAACAATTCCTTACCTAATATATAATTAGTAGAATGTTTTTAGTCAACACATTTGAGTGACACTATGTTTGCTTGCTTGTTTTTTGCTTCTTGGAGTTTTTGTTTGGTTAAAAACAAACAAACAAAAACAAACTGAAATCAGTGGCTGTTTTTGCCCTTTACTTAAAATTATCTTTAAATGGGCTCATGGCATTTAATCTGTTCTGGCTTGAGAAGTCTTTGTTTCCTCATACCACTCGAGTGATGTATTTTAAAAATGAGTACACATATGCCTGAAAACGTGCATTAGCATAGAAGTCTATGCAGTGGTTAGGGTCCTGGTTTTAATTTCATCTTAAAAAACCAAAACTAGTGTCCTTTGTGTGCTTTTAGTATCATCTCAGTAAAGTTCTGCTAAGTAATGGACTCAACTGTTATGTTTATATTTTAGGAGATGGGCAGCCATAAGTTAAAAAGAAGACAAGCTGAAGCTACACACATGGCTGATGTCACATTGAAAATGTGACTGAAAATTTGAAAATTCTCTCAATAAAGTTTGAGTTTTCTCTGAAGAAGTCAGGCATGTCTTTTGTAAAATCAATTCCTAGGAAGTTGATGCTATTGTAGATGGTATCTTTAGAAAAATCCTTGTGTTCTGTTTACAGCTGGTATGCATTTTTGTATACTGATTTTGTGTCAGGCAACATTGCTAAACTTACTTATTCTGTTGGTTTATCTCTACATCCTTTTGGATTTTCTCCATACATAATCATACAACATGTAAATAATGATAATTCTGTTTTTTTCCTTTTGAAGCTTTATACTTTCATTTCTTGTCCTTATGACACTGGCCAGCCCCCTCTAGTACAATGCTGATTAGAAGTGATGATGGTGTAAATTCTTGTCATATTCCTGATGTCAAGGGGGAAACCTTCGACATTTAACTATGATAGGTTTTAAAAATATATGTAGATTCCTTCTACAGGTTAAGTATAGCTAATACAAAGTCCTCCAAAATCTGAAACTTTCTGAGTGCCTCCACAATGCTCAAAGGAAGGGCTAATTTCAGATTTCAGATTCTCAGATTGTGGATGTTGAACCAATAAGTATGTTGGAAGTACTCCAGAATCTGAAACAGCATTTCAGAGATGGTATACTCAAAATGTATTAGATTAAGGACTTTTCAAAAAGATATTTCAAAAAGATATGAGCACTCCTCATGGGCTTTGGGGTGCTGCTACCCAGTGCCAGCAGCCCCTTGGCACAGGAATTCCAGAGGCCCCTCAGCCCCATACCTGATCCCCTCTCCCTGCTGGCAACTCCACAGGCTTCCTTTCACTTCCACCTGCTGCCCACCCCGGGACACTGACACGGACGGCTTAAGGGCTTTGGGGCATGAGTACTTACCATGCTTACCATGAATATATGTTGAATTTTATCAAACACTTGGTCTGCATCTACTGAGGTGTAGGCCATTTCTCCATGAAGCTGTTAACATAGCATTCCTAGAATAAGTCCAATTTGAGTTGTGATATATTGTTCTTTTATGTTTTACTGGCTCCTTTTCCTAATGTTTTGTTTAGAATTTTTGCACTTTTGTTCATGAGATTGACCTATAATGTTTTAATACACGCTCCATTCAGGCATTAGTATCAAGGGCATTCTAGCTTCATAATATGAGTTAGGATGTATATTCTCCTTTTATTTTTCTCATATGGTTACCTAACATTGGAATTCTTTCTTAAATGTTTGATAGAATTTGCCAGTGAAGCTATCTGGATCTGGAGTTCTCTTTGTAGGGAAGTTTAAAATTGAATCAATATCTTTAGTCATATTGGGACTATTTCAATTTTCTATTTCTTCACTTTGGTTTTATTTTTCTAGGACTTTGTCCATGTTATCTAAATTTTTGTTATACAAAATACTCCATAGTATCCTCTTCTTATCCTCTTAATGCCTGTTTTCTCTTGTATTCTTTTTTTCTTTCCCTTCTTCTTCTTTTGAGTTGGAGTTTCACTCTTCTTGCCCAGGCTGAAGTGCAGTGGCACAATCTGTCTTGGCTCACTGCAACCTCTGCCTCCCAGGTTCAAGCAATTCTTCTGCCTCAGTCTCCTGAGTAGCTGTGATCCCAACCGCCTGCTACCATGCCTGGCTAATTTTTGTATTTTTTTTTTTTTTTTAGTAGAGATGGAGTTTCATTATGTTGGCCAGGCTTGTCTCGAACTCCTGACCTCAGGTGATCCACCTGCCTCAGCCTCCCAAAGTGTTAGGATTACAGATGTGAGCCACCATGCCCGGCATCTCTTATACTCTTGATCAATGTTAGGGTCTTTACAAACTAAACTAACTTTTGACTTTTTGTTTTATATTTTGCTAATTTGGGCTCTCATGTATTTTCTTTTACTTTGTGTTTAATTTGCTGTTTTTAACTCCTTGAGATAGATATTTAGCTCATTAATTTTCAGTCTTCTTTTTAATGTATACATCATAAATTTCTCTCTATTGAGGGCTTTAGCTGCATTCCACAGGTTATGATATATAGTATTTTTGTTATTTAACTCAATATTTTCTAATTCACATAATTTCTTTGAATGATAGATTACTTAGAAGTGTATTTCTTCCAAACATTTGAATACTTTGTAGCTGTTGTTGTGTTACACAGTATAGATAACTGATAATATCTGTTTACAAAAAATACATCCAAAACATAAAAATTTACAGAAGTTGAAAGTAAAAGGACGGACACAATATATTTGGCACAAAATAATTAAAATAGCCTTTCAGACAAATGAGCATTACTAGGAATAAAAAGGGGGTATTTCATGAAGAAAAGGTTCAGTTCACTAGGAAGATTTAATTTTAATTATGAGTGTAATGTGGCTTCAAAATATGCTGGGAAAATTGGCAGAATACGAGAAGAAGTTGGTAACTGAGAGAACAAGCAGACATAAAACAGTAAGGAGGTGGGGTTCTTCCTTACTGGAAAACTAACCACTTGGCTTTGTCTGCCTTTAAGGTAGCCTAGCACTGATTCCTACCCTGAGGAGGGGATGTGGAGCAGACCTGGTCTTTCCTTCGGGTTTTACTCCTCCCAGTTCACCACCAGGTATTGGAACTGCTACAGGTTTGCAAGGAAATCTAGTCCAACCTGGATATCATTTTTACTTTCTGCATGTGCCATCTGGGGGCTAGAGAGAGGTGGCAGATGGAAGCGAAGGGCTGGGTGCCCTTAATAAACCCACTGTGTCATGACAGCAAAGAACTAGTTTTAGAGATTCATTGCAAGCCGAAAAGGGCAGACATTTATTGAAAGGATGCTGGACAGCTTCAAGATTACTCAGGAAGGGCGGGGCCCAGGGTGACTCTTAGCTGTATGGGAGCCAGGCATCCTCCTTTCAAGGGCTCCTGATTCTTGAGGACCAACTCCTGCTGCTAATCCTAGGAGGCCTCCTGGTCCTCTCCGTGGAGGAAGAGGCCAGGTTGAGGGTTGATGTCTAATGGTGAGCAAGGAGAATGTTGCTATAGGGTGTAGTCAGGCAGCACGGCTGCAGAAGCCAGGACTTGGGGACTGGGCTCTTCCTAGAACACTCTCTCTTCCTATCTATGTCCTGATGCCTGCCATGGGTTGCACTCTCTGGGACCAGCAGCTACAGCCTGACACCCCCAAGCCATGCCCAAGATCTGAGCCACTTGCTTTGGGCACACTCCTCGTGGGCTTTGGGGTGCTGATGCCCAGTGCCAGCAGCCCTGTGGCACAGGGGCTCCCAGAGGCCCCTCAGCCCCATGCCCGATCCCCTCTCCCTGCTGGCAGCTCCACAAGTTTCCTTCCACTTCCACCTGCTGCCCACCCAGTGATGCTGCCAGGGCTTAAGGGTCTTGGGACTCTGTCCTGTAGTTCATGCCCCCTCTCAGCTGTAGGAGAGCTACCAGCTGTAGGGATGGCTTTGTCATGCCTCATCCCTCCAGCTGGCCTTAGAGAGAAGAGCTGAATTGTGTCCCCGGGCTGCTCAGCGTCTGCTGGGCCAAGAGGACAGCTGCCAAGCTGTCAACCCACCGATGGCCTTAGGAGCCCAGGAGGAGACAAGGAGCAGGGCCAGACTCTGCAGAGCGCTGATAAGATGGGCCAGGGATGCACCTCTCCATGCCCAGTGGCCTTGGGAGCCACAACCCCTCTGGAGCTGGGGGCCAGGACTGCCAAGAACTGCAGCTGGAGCTTCATCCTTTTTAGGAAGGGCAGGACCTGGGGTGGCAGGGAAGACTGGGACAGGGCTGGAGGCAGGCTTGGCCACTGAAATGATGGCCTGTCACAGCTTCTGCCTGCACTCCTCAGGCAGGCTCCTTGGAGGGGACATTTCATGGCCTCAGAAACATGTCTGGACGTGGCACCTGCTTGACCCCCAGCCTTGTAGTGGCTGGGGGAAGCATGCATGGATGAGGGGAAGAATAAGGGAGGAAGGTCAGAGCTGTACAAGGGGATGCAAAACCTGTACTCCACGACCACTGTGTGAGGCACAATGTACTATCCCAGAAGCCTTTGCTGAAGTGCAGTGGACAGTACCCTGGATGGGGATCAAAAGAACTGAGTTGGCTTTTAGTTCTACTTCTGAAAAGCTTTGCATAATGACATGTAGATGATCTTCTTTGAGTCTCAGCTTTGTTGCTTGCAAAATGCAAATAATTCCTCCCTCCCAAGGATTCTATATAGACTGAGATAAAAAATGTGAATGTGCAAAGTAAACAGCTAGGCCTGTCCTAAAGGCACTGTGAATGTTGGTTGCATCCAAATCTGATTTTTGTCTGGGACCAGGATTAGGGGCCAGAATACACCAGAGGTGAGGGCCAGCCTCCCTGAGAACCATCAACAAACTTACCCCACATCCCATTATACCTCCTCACCGCCTGCAACCTGTTAGCTTCCCCCATCTCCCACACTCACTGTCGCCTGGGGCTCTGGTGCACCAGAGGACACTACTTGCTCCTTGGTACACAGGTGAGTGCAGCCAGTGTCATACCCAAGGCCTATAAATGAGGTCCACAGGCAAAAGCCATCCCAGCCCACATCTGATGCCCAAGATGCAATACTAAGTGGAAAAAGCACTGTAGAACAGTATGTGGATATGGTCTTGTTTATGTGTGTGTGTAAGATATAGGTATAAAATATGCTTGCATATTCGTAGGAAATTTATGGATGAATACACAAAAATTGTTAACAATGGTTATTACTAGTTTTACAGGGATGATAAACAGGGAGGGGCGAGGACTGTATTTTTACTAATCATTATCATTTGAATATTTTTGCCATGAACGTGTGCTACTTTTATAATTTAAAAACCCTTAAAATCAAAAGATACAGATAATAATATGTAGATATAGATAGATGATCGATGTACAATAGTGGTAGATAAATGATAGAAAATAGCTAAAAGCTAAACCATTCAGGTATCTCTGTGCATTGTTTTCCTCACATGAAATGGTACCTGTTTCATAGGATTATTGTGAGGATTAAATGACTTCATACGGTTAAGTCCTTGGAACAGTGCCTGGCACACAGTAAGTGTTCAATAAATGTTCCCCT